GTTGTCATTTTTAAAAATCTCTACAATAGTGGGAATAGGTTTACACAGCAGTAAGACCATAGACATATAGAGACAAAATATGGCAACTGGACAAAACTTTATAGATAACCTAGTGTAACTTCCTATTTATAGAAATGAAGACCCATATTTAGTGAGGAAGTATGACTTGTTAAATGCCACAGTGGAGCTTTTCCACCACACAGCAGTAATTTGTTGCTCAGGGGAAGGGAGATCCCTGGTAATTACAATATGAGTCCCTGGCCCAAACAGCCTGAAGCATGCTATGTCCAAGACCTGAAAGGCTGGAATGACTTCAGGAAACAAATTATGTTTTGACCAGACGCACTGAAGGGTGCTCATCTCTTTCTCTCTTTCTCTGTGGCTCACTCTCACTCTTACTCTCATTCCTACTTCTGAATGCACACACTCTATCATGAATAAAGGAAAAAAATAACCACGATAATGTAGGGTTGCATAGGGTCCTTAACTCATAGCATGTTGCTAGCAAGAGATGTCAGGGAATGTTAAAAATTGCTGCCCCTGGGGACCAGCAGTTGGCGTAATGGCTATGTCGCTGGACTCGCATGTAGTCGACCATTGTTTGAGTTCCGGACCCGGTGGCTTAAACTCATACTGGGCATGTGTGTGTGGGTGCCCAAAATTCTGAGAGGAGAATGGAGGAGAAGGGATTGTGGTGTGGCCATCCCCCTGGGGAAAAGATTTTTCACTTTCTGTTTCTCCGTCTCTCTCTTTCTGGTGAGGACATGCACCCTATAGCAAAAAAAGTAAAAAAAAAAAAAAAAAAATGCTGACCCTGGTGCTCAGGTGACAGAGGAGCAGTATGGGTTATCTGCTCAACTCCTAAAGGCTCTAGGTGCACCCTGGTCTCTCAGGCACCCAGCACGCATTCTGCTCACAGCCAAGATGCCCAAGAAGAAGGTCAGCTCAGCTGAGGTGGTGGCCAAGGAAGAGCCCAAGAGGAGATCAGTGAGGTTGTCTGCTAAACCTGCTCCTACAAAAGTGGAAAGGAAGCCAAAGAAGGCAGTAGGAAAAGATAAACCTTCAGACAAAAGAGTGCAAACGAAAGGCAAAAGGGGAGCAAAGGGGAAACAGGCTGAAGTGACCAACAGAGACATTAAAGAAGATTTACCTGCAGAAAATGGAGAAACTGAAAATGAGGAGAGTCCACCCTCTGATGAATCAGGTGAGAAAGAAGTCACGTCTGAGTAATGTCACATACCATGCCTTATCAATAGTCCCTGTCTCCCTTCTTGTACAATACAGAGGGATAGTCTTATCAACTATTTTGTAAATGCAAGTTTTTTAATAGCTCTAGAAACATTTTTAAGAAGGAAAGAATCCCACCTCATCCCACTTTTTAAGTGGAAATCCCTTTTTTTAGAGGTGAAATCATTTACTGGTTATTTTTCAGTACAATCAGAAAATAGTGGGATATTGACTTATAGGAGGCTTTGACTTTCTTACTGTCAGTTTAACATTCCATAGGTGGGGGTGAGTGGGTAGTTTTTATATCCTAAATACATACTAAATGGAAGTTTGGAGTCATGCATTTAATGTGTCTTGAATATTTTAAATTACTTCTATTATGTTTTTTAATAATATTGTTTCCTAAAGAAAACCACTGTTTGATTGTTGCTCTTCTGTCAGAATTGTGTGTACTCTGCAACATCTTTGGTTGTGGTAGTCCAGTTTTCCAAATAATTTTGTTAATGTGCTATGAAAGATTGGAAATTTGAAGTATGTAGTGTATATGTTTTCCATATTTCTACAGAATCCCAACATCCCTACATGGAAGGGTTGAGTCAGGCTATCTGCCCCACATTTCTCTTTAAGTCATGAATTTTCAGAGGAAGAAACCAGAAAGTGACTTTTCAACATTTAATTGCAAAAATTCTGAGAGATGACTCCTATAATGAATCCAGTTGATTTTTTCCAGTTTTAGGCATACATTTTTGGAACTTAAGATGCTACATTTTTTTGTTTGGTTGTTTTTTTTTGTTTTGTTTTTGGAGAGGTTTTCACTACAGGGCGTGTGCGTTCGCCAGACAGACAGAGAGAGACACAGAGACAGAAAGCGAGAAATCACCCCCCAGAGGGAATGGTCACGCCGCAATCCCTTCTCCTCCCTTCTCCTCTCGGGATCTTGGGCACGCATGGACATGCGCCCAGTGTGAGTTTTAAGCCACCAGGTCTGGGACACGAACTGTGGTCGACTACGTGGGAATCCAGCGACATAGCCATTATGCTAACTGCTGGTTCCCAAATGCCACATTTTTTAAGTTAAAATTTCCCTCTCTTTAGTTTAAATTCATTAAATGTAATTAGATGGGCCAGTAGGCAGATAAGATCAGTACTTCCATGACATAATTGTCATACATCTTATGGAAAAAATATGACATGCTTTTATCTTCTGAATTAATGACAATCCACCAACTCTCCAATTTTGCCAGACTTTAATAACATTTAAAATAATCTCTTCTCTAATGTTGCTGCTTATAAATAAAAAAAAAGGTATGGATACATTCAAGATATATGACAAAAATAGAAACCCTTAAAACTCACTTTTAGAAAAAAATTCCCACAGTTTATCTATAACCTGCTTTTTATAACCTGTCACAAATGCCCACTTGAGTAGCAGAAAACATCTTGGCCTTTACTTGTATTCTGAAATACTTTCAAACAAGATTTTATGAAGGCAGCTAGAAATATAGCTAGAAATAAAAACCTAATTGAATGTCTTTCATTTTATACAATTGCAAGGAATAATTAAGAGTGTAATTTAGTTTAGTATGATCTTCCAAGTATATGCCGTATCTGCTTGCTTAACAAGCTTTCCCCAGTGTTTTGACATCCTAAACATAAGTGAATGAAGTAAATAGAAAGAAAGAAGTACCCAGGGAAATTAATGCTCTTCATTCCCTGTGTAATAAATACTCATATTGTTGTAAAATCATTACCTTATTATCTAATAAACATTCAAGACAGTTGGACTTATGTAATTTTTTGTTTATTTGATTTTACATTTTATGTATTAGATACGATACAAGTGCATGAAACATGAAGTCTTTGAGCAACAAAAGCTTGCACCCTCATATTGGAAGCAATGTTTAATCATCTGAATGTTTGATAAAATAATCATTTTAAGAGGGTATTATTTATGAACCACCAACAACAGCATTTACATAAGACTGAGAAGAGGAAGAGGAAAGGCTGAGAAGCCTGAGTGAAAGTACCTGAGTTGGGAATTTCAGCACAAAGGATAATCTTTAATGCTGTATTTTGATCTTCTCCTCTATCAAAGCACCTTTCTTAGGATTTGGTTTTTCTTTTTTTCTTATTTGAGAGAGAGATTTTTTGCTATGGGGTGTGTATAATTGCTGGAGAGACAGAAAGACAGGAGACAGAAAGTGAGAAATCATCCCCAGGGGGATGGGGGGATGGTCATACTGCAATCCCTTCTCTTCTATTCTCCTCTCAGGATCTTGGACACACATGCACATGTACCCAGCATGAGTTTATTTGTTTGTTTGTTTCTTTCTCTCTTTTAGAGAGAGATTTTTATTATAGGGTGCATGACCTTACCCTAGAGACAGAGAGACAGAAAGCAAGAAATCACCCCCCAGGGGGGTATGTCCATGCTGCAATCCCTTCCCTTCCATTCTCCTCTCGGGACCCTGGGTGCATACATGCACACATGCACACATGCCTGGCATGAATTTTAAGCCACAGGCCCAGGACTCGAACCACAGTCAACTATTGGGAGTCCAGTGATGTAACTCCTATGCTATTTGCTGGATCCGAGGATTTCTAATTCTCAGTCTCCCCATCCAAAATCTTTTTTCTCCTTACTAACCTTTGGATTTCTACTCATCTTCTGCATCTCCTGAAGTTATGCCGCAGACTGCTGACTTGCTTCTCTCTGGGGGCCTTTTATTCCTCTTCAGAATCTTCAGGAACCTGCTGCTGCTTCTCGAACTCAGGTCCCTGTTCGGGCACCAGAATGTCCCGGACAGTGGGACAATTGGGCAGGATGCCCAGGAGTGCTAAGCAGGTCAAAGAAATGCAGGAGGGGACCAGAGGCTTCATTCACTTTAAGACACCAAGACACCCCTCAAACACAGCTGCCACAGGAACATTCTCTCCATGGACACCGTGTCCAGCAGAACACGGTCAGCACAGCGACAGGTCCGCCCCAGCGACCACGCGGAAGAAACTTAAAGAGTCCTTTTCATCACAATCTAAATTTAAACATTTCAGTCATACTTAGAATATCCACCATTAGACTTCATGGCATTTTGTAATTTATTATGAATTATTCATAAATTTGGTTAATTAATGTTTCTAGCTTTCATTACATTGTAAATTTCATTAATGCACAACCTAGTGGATTCGCTATAAAATGCAAAATCCACAGCAATGTAAAAAGCCAAAGACTCGATAACCCTTAGCATAATTAAAATTAGTGCACAAAGCACATATCAAACAAGAGGAACTTTAGCCCACTAATACATGATTTGGAATTTTTCTTTATTAATAGAGTGACTTATTTAAATTGAAGACATACAATGAAGTATAGTATATTTTAGGAAACTCCAAAATATTGATAGTTTCAAGTTTAATAAAATATGTATCCTTTTAAATTTAGGTATGTGAAACAATTTCAAATTATACGACCTGAAGAAAACAACAAGAGTATGTACCTTTCTGTATATATATATATACACATATATATGTTTAAAATTTGCCAGAGTGAGCATGTGCTCACTGAAGAGAGAGAGAAAGAGACAGAATGAGAAGCACCTTCCCATGGAGGATCCTTCTTTTGGGATTTTGGGCACACATGCATAATGCCAGGAGTATATTTCAAGCTGCTGGGTCAGGACTCGAACCAACCAATCGGCCATGTGAGATTGAGTTGCCTTAACCATCAGCCACGGCCTGGGCCTATAGAAACATATTTATTTGTAGTATATACACATTTACTTAATACAAAATTTAGTTTTCAGTTTTGCCAAGGCGTCTTTCACATCCTTGTTTCGTAAACTATATATCAGAGGGTTCAACATGGGAATCACAAGGGTGTAAAACAAAGAAATCATTTTGTCTTGATCTAGAGAATATGAAGAACTTGGCCGAAAATACATGAAGAGTATTGTTCCCTGGAAAATTGCAACAGTAGTTAAATGGGAGGCACAAGTGGAGAAAGCTTTTAACTTTCCATCAGCAGACTGGATCTTTACGACGGATAGGATGATATAACAATAAGAAACCAGAACTCCTGAAATGGTGCTCAGTTCAATGAAACCAAAAACAGTGAATATCACTAACTCATTGACCTGTGTGTCTGAACAAGATAATAGAAGGAGAGGAGGCATATCACAGAAGAAATGATTTATCTCATTAGGCCCACAGAAACATAAGCGAAATGCCAGTGTTGTATGTATTAAAGCATCAGTCATTCCAACCAGATAAACCCCACCTAAGAGCAGGAAGCACACCCTGTTGGACATGTTGACTGTGTAGAGCAAAGGGTTGCTGATGGCCTTGTACCGATCAAAGGCCATCACGGCCAGCAGTAAACACTCAGAATCTGCAAAGGTACATAAGATCAAAAATTGCAGAGCACAGCCAATGAAAGGGATTGATTTGTTCTCAGCAAGTAGGTCTACCAGCATCTTGGGTCCAATTGCAGTGGAATAGCAGAGGTCACAGAAAGACAGGTGACTGAGGAAGAAGTACATCGGTGTGTGCAGCTGGGTGTCCATCCTAATTAGGATGATCATTCCAAGATTAGCCAGGAGATTAATGAGATAAACAACTAAAAATGTGGTAAATAGGGTCATTTTCATTCCAGGCTTATTGGTAATTCCCAGGAGAAAAAATTCAGTTATTGAAGAACAATTTCCCCTATCCATTCTTCTTTGCTTTTGTTCTAAATTGTTATAAAAATCACCAAGAAAATAACAGATTAGGGTTTGACTTTTATGGGTATTTATAAATATTACTTATAAGGCAAACATGATTTTTTTTGCTTCAAACTGTCTTCTTTACCCTCAGAAAATAGCCTGGTCAATTGTCATTGTAGTGTGAAAAACACAAAAAATATCTAGCATAAGAGGCTGATAATATTTTATTCTAAATTAATATGTAATTCTCAGATATTTGACTTTTCTTGGCCTCTATTTTCAAAATGCTAGGCAATAGATTTGAATATACTAAAAGCTTGTTCTCAATCTAAAAACAAACTTTGAATATAGGGTCTTCAATGTTAAAAGAAAAATTAAATGCTTTATTAAACTATTCCCATCACTGATAGGTCACAGAATTTATATCCTATTTGCATGACTCATATGGTTCTAAAGACAAATATCCTGAGGCGCCAATAAAAAAGTGGTAAAAAGAAAGAGTACTACAAAAAAAATTGCTTATCATCATATTATTTTTTAATCATAAAAGCATAGAATTCTTTGGCTTTTAAACTGACTATTTTTATGAAATCAAAATGCAAAAAGGAACAGTCAATGTTTTTGAGATATCCAGGCTTCTGTTTCTTGTATCTGTGTGGGCATTTATGTGTGTGTGAGAAGGCATGTGAGTGTGTACCTGCTGATATACGAAAATTTCAATATGGATAGTGGTTATAGTGTTACTTCTTGTAGACCTATGGTATGCAGTCCACGTAGACTTCCATTTGCATGGATTGGTATTTGTAATGCTTTACCTCTACATTTTTAAGAGTTAAATTAGAACAAATCTTAAATTTGCATGTACAATGACATCAACACTTTCAGTGTGATAAAAATAATTTTCTTATAAATCTCAATGAAAACATAAATAAGCAAAATCTTTGTTGTATTAATAGAAGTGGCAATGGCATGGTGGCACCCATACTATGGGAAAAAAAAAAATACAAGTGGCAAAAGATCCAGTCAAGTTCACACAGGTCTAACAAAGAAATATTATTAATTATTAGACAGCAGAGTTTATTTAACTGAGTAGCAGTTATAAAATGATTTAATTAAAAATTTCTCAGCACTTGAGTTCTCAATTTGGCAGAAAAGGTAAGTTTTTTCCCCTTATATTTCTAAAATTTAGCCATTCAGAAACCTACCTGAGACAAGCAAGTCTTTCTGTCCTTATCTGGTGTGTGACCAATAGGTAGATCACCTTTTATTTTTACCTAGTGTCAGCTGGGACTTAAATCTCTTAAGCCTCTGTATTTACTTTTTTGTTATTCAAACATGATTAATTAGATTCCTGGTTTGGTATTTTCCCTTGTGAATGTTGCAACAACCTTAGCAAGGATAAAACTTAATTCTTCACCTTATTACCCAATTGATCAATGTTAGGAATTTACCATAATTGATTTAACACTGTGAAAACTTAATGAAACTATAGCCTTCTCCAGTGAATCCAGACATCTAATGAAACTTGAATAGATTTTCTACTTAATAATGTTCATGTTCTTTTCATTGTACATTTTACTTCTGAAACAGTCTACCATGTACGAGTATGGTAATATTATATGCTACATTTTCATTAATCATTGTCTGATTCTTTTTCCACAACTACATGTCAACCAACCATGTTTCAATTATTTTATGGTTGTTCAACATTCACTATACGTGGTATATTCTTTCTCAACTGTTTTTCTTTTTCTTTTTTTTTTTTTTGAGATTTTTTTTTTTTTCTATAGAGAGTGTGCTCTTCCAGAGAAACAGAAAGTGTGAAATCACCCCCCCAGAGTGTGCTCTTTCCAGAGAAACAGAAAGTGTGAAATCACCACCCCACCCCCAGGGGGAGATGGCCATACCACCTCAAACCCTTCTCCTCCATTCTCCTCTTGGGATTTTGGGCACACATGCACACATGCCTAGCATGGCTTTTAAACTGTGAGATCTGGGGCTCAAACCGTAATCGACTACATGGTGGTCCAGCGACATACCCATTACACCATCTGCTAGTCCTGCAACTATTTTTAAAATCTATTTATGTATTTGCCTGTCTATAGTTTCAAAATCCCTAGCACAGGCTAAGTAAATGTGTGGTTTTAAATATATTCAGATTGTTAGACTGGTGAATATTTAATAAGAAGTAGAAGTAAACAACCTTTGTGGCCTGTTTCTACTGAGTTCTTTAGTGCAAGGATAATTTTTATACTTTCAAGAAAATAGTCAAATTCTGTTCATTTACAAAATAACATTTGTGTACTATTATTTATGATAATCCTTTGATAATTGGGAGAATCAAAAGTGTGAATTTTGTGTCTGTTCCAGTCTCTCTCCTCTAGCTGCCAATATAATGTACGTCTCTCAATCTTGGTCTACCACCTTAGATACTGACTTCATTGGGGAGCTAAATCTTGTATTCAAATTGTTCTGACCATAAAAATTTTTCTACTCACCTTTCTCTAATAGTGATTTTTTAATTCAGCATAGACTTATTGGGCAACAGCTATGAATTTAAATGCAGATCACTGTGGCTATTTTACTGGATGCCTTGTGTTTATTTTCTTTTGTTTATTTTAGTTTATCCTTCTATATATTTTCAATATTATTTTATGTTTCTACTTTTAACAATCTCATTATACAGATACCAAAAGTGAGATCCAGAAGGAATTGGTTTATTTCTGGAGTCTCACAGATGTTGTTTGGCTGATTTCCAAGTACTGTTCTCAATAAATGTTTGACTATGGGACCAGCAGCTGGCGTGATGGTTAAGGCACTGGACACTCCCACATGGCCGACCAGGGTTCGAGTCCTGAATCTGGTGACTTGCTTTCTCACTTCCTCTCTCTCTCACTCTCAACGTCTGTCTCTCTCTGGTCAAATTAAAAAATAAATGAATGAATAAATAAAATAAAATAATTATAAAAAATAAATGTTTGACTACATTTAATTTTTTTAATCATATTTGAAAAAATTTTCTCCTGAATACTCTCACAAAATGTTATAATGTGTTTAAGGGAAATAGTAAACCATAGATTCTTAGAGTTATACATGTATGGAATATTCATCCAAGTTCTATCTTTTATTTTATTCTGTATTTGTTTTATTGCAAAGGAATGTTTGCATTGGCCAGAGAGAGAGGAAGGGAGGAAGTGATAAAGCACTCCCTAATGAGACGTGGTAATGTTGCAATCCTGTTCCTCCATTTCTCCATCCTGTCAGAATTTTGTGCATCATGCATGCCCATACACACTCATCACATTTTTCTTTTCTTTTTTTTTTGAATTCTTTAAACCATCATTTTAATTCAATCAATAACTTATTTATTTTTTTCCACAAAGGAGAGAGGGACAGATACAGAGAGACAGAGACATGGAGACAGCACCCCCAACAGGGTCTTGACACCATGATCTACCTACCATAAGCCTTAACCAACCCTGGATCATAGGCACACATGTACCTGGCATACAGGGATGTTTCCAGACATGAATCTAAAACCTGTCCATGTGGGTTGGCCTTAAGGAGCTTTGAATTTTATTGCTGTGCCATTGTTTGGCTCCTACTTCCCATTTTAAACTGGCTGTTTGTTTCTGACTAAGGGTTCAGTTGTTTAAATAACGTATAGAGAAATCACATTTAATATTTCATCACATTCTTCAATGCTGCCAGGGTTAGCATTCCAACTGCAGTCAGTCATGTAGGATTTGATTTCTAATATACACCCCTTAATTTCTACACTGCTTCCAAGTCCCATTTCCAAACAAAGGTAAGATTCCACCAGTGATGAGGGCAGAGGAGAGGGACAGGAAAGGAAGCCAGGTTGTCATATACCTTGTTTATCTTAGCTGGACACTTCAACATTACTGTGGGTATGCAAAGGGCTTCTGTTTTATGCAATTTCAGGGAGCTCATAGAATATAAGTAAAATAGTGCCTCTGAAGCTGTGCAATATAGTAGCTTTGGGAAATCCTTCTGTATTAACCATGTTCTGTGTAATATGTTATAATGTGTGAATCATTGCAGGATGCATTCATGCATAGATTTCTGTGTTTGTGAAGTCTACTGTTTTATATAGTGTATGATGTATTTATACTTTATTGTAAATAATTTATTGTATAACAAAACATGGAAATAAAAAGTTGTACATTTATTGAGATCAGCAGATGGTGTAATGGTTATGTTGATTGTCTCCCACAGAATCAACTGCTGTTCAAGTCCCAGCCTCCACCAGACAAGATAGGCCATGACACGTATGCTCCCTATAGTGCCCCAGGAGATCTTGGAAAGAGAACCCAGGATCTCCTCATGTGTGCTCAGCATCATTACTATTGTGCCACAACAGCTGGCCAATATTTGTGTGTTTTTAAAAACCATATAGAGACCAGCAGATGGTGTAAGGATTATGTCACTGGACTCCTGTGTAGTTGACCGTGGTTTGATTCCCACGCCTGGCAACTTTAAACTCATGCTGTGTGCACATGTGTGTGTGTGCCCAAAATTCTAAGAGGAGAATAGATGAGAAAGGAATTGCAGCATGGCCATCCCCCGCTGGAGGGTGATTTCTCACTTTCTGTCTCTCTGGTATATGCAGACACTTCAACATTAGCATGGGCATCCAAAGGGCTTCTGTTTTATGCAGTTTCAGGGAACTCATAGACTATAAGTGCTACTGTATTGCACAGCCTTTGAAGCTATACATAGCTATTTTTGCTATACATAGCAAAAATTTCTCTCTGAAAAAAAATTGTATATATATGTATGAGTGTGTGGGGGGGTATAAAATAAGTGAAATTTTAAAACTCTGTATGTAAAGAACTTCTCTATTGTCACTAGTATCCCTAAACATAATACTATATAAGCTTATAAACTTTTACTTTCAGAAAATAGTTGTTTGATTCTAAGTCATGAAGCAATATGAATATATTCAGGGCATGATACTACTCCCAAGGAGAACTAAGTTCACTAAGCTTTCATTTTTCAGGAGATAATATTAAATGTCCCTGTGCATTGAATGAGAAGTCTTTGTTTTATAAAAAATTCAGCAATATTGCTAGCAAAAAGGGAAAATATTCACTGTAATATTCCATAGACAGTGCACCATTTATTTTATAAAAACATGTGGACCACTATTGTATACAAACCATTACCTGAAATAAAAATGTATGCTAATTACATTTTGAAAATTATTAGAGTCTTACAGTGCATAGATTTTACTGTTGGTAGACCTTTTTATGTGTAATGTACATTTATAAAATGCTAAAATAATAAGAACACAACTATGTCAACGCTAAAGAAATATTTATAATACCTGTAAAATCAGCACCTAGACCATGTAACAGCATTAACAGACTCTCGAAGTTTTCTACATGCTTTCTACCTGCTCACTCTGAAGGGATAGATTACTTTCTTGACATTTATCGGGATGCATTAGTTTCATGTTTTTAACAGTGCATAAGTAGATGCAGACAGTTTGTACTGTTTTACTTTACAATATATTTGTACAGTCCTTCCAAGTTGATGCATGTAGTTGTAATACATGCTTTATCATTGTGTAGTATTCCTTTATACAAATATATCAATTATTTTTCTACACCAATGTTTCTTTTTTTTTTTTGGAGAGGTTTTTGCTATAGGACGCGTGCACTTGCCAGACAGTCAGAGAGAGACAGAGAGACAGAAAGCAAGAAATCACCCCCCAGGAAGGATGGCCACACTGAAATCCCTTCTCCTCCATTCTCCTCTCGGGATCTTGGGCGCACACGCACACGTGCCTGGCATGAGTTTTAAGCCACTGGGTCCAGGACGCGAACCATGGTCAACTATGTGGGAGTCCAGTGACATAGCCATTACACTAATTGCTGGTCCCTTACACGAATGTTTCTAGGTACTTAAGTTGTTTTCTCTTTTACTATTACCAATGATCGTATTGCAAACATTCATTTTTTTATGATATATATTCATTCCTTTTACATACAAATATACAAAACCAGGAGTTGGAAGTGTGTGTGTGTGTGTGTGTGTGTGTGTGTGTGTATTTAGATTTAATAAATACAATAATACAATTTTCCAGAGTGGTAGGGCAATGGATATTTTCTACACCAATGTTTCTTTTTTTTTTTTGGAGAGGTTTTTGCTATAGGACGCGTGCACTTGCCAGACAGTCAGAGAGAGACAGAGAGACAGAAAGCAAGAAATCACCCCCCAGGAAGGATGGCCACACTGAAATCCCTTCTCCTCCATTCTCCTCTCGGGATCTTGGGCGCACACGCACACGTGCCCGGCATGAGTTTTAAGCCACTGGGTCCAGGAGGCGAACCACGGTCAACTATGTGGGAGTCCAGTGACATAGCCATTACACTAACTGCTGGTCCCTTACACCAATGTTTCTAGGTACTTAAATTGTTTTCTCTTTTACTATTACCAATGTCGTATTGCAAAAATACATATACATGCATTTTTTTATGATATATATTCATTCCTTTTACATACAAATATACAAAACCAGGAGTTGGAAGTGTGTGTGTGTGTGTGTGTGTGTGTATTTAGATTTAATAAATACAATAATACAATTTTCCAAAGTGGTAGGCCAATGGATACTTCCATTATCATACTCATAGTGTGTAAATCCTCTGAATGTCTCACATCATTGTCAATACTTAATGTAGTCTGTCATTTTAGTTTTAATCATTATGCATGTTATGCTATTTCCCTACCAATAAAACTGGATATTCATTTTCATGAATTTTTTTTAAATTCAAAATGCAGACTAGATGATGAAGTTAGGAAAGACAAATATCATATGTCTCTGCTTGACATGTACTGAACTCCACATTCAAGCATAAAGCAAAGGACTCAAAAGAATAGAAATAGAGACACTAATAGTGGATACCAGGAGAGGCTTGGAGAAGAGTGGGGCATAGTTCATGAGAAAATTTATAAGAATGCAGGTAAAGCAAGGGAAGAGTATGGACAAAGTACACACAGCAGAATTTAAAATATGGACAATTTACTACATATTTAAAAACTAGTAGATATAGTAACACATGTGCACACAATAAAGCAATGTTCAATGTCGAAGAAGATGAATATGAGTATATTTTTTATTTGATTATCATAGACTGTATGTAGGACTTAGAAAATATTCTGTGGAACACAAAAATACACATCGATTACATGTATGCTAACATGAAAGAAAAGAAAGGTAGCTAGGTACAGCTTAACGGTATTGGGGCTCCTAAACTCATACTGTCTAGCTATCATCATTTTTATAGCTATTCACATTAAATTGGCCTAGAAATACAATATAGCACTTTTATATGAATATGTTCTAGGGACCAGCAGGTAGCGTAATGAATATGTTCTAACCCCATGGTGTATTTTTAACATCACCAAAGATAGAAGGGGTATGTGCATGATAGAATAATATATAGCCAGGGAACATAATAAAGATTTTCCAGCCCAGGCTCCTTTTCTGATTGCTGGGCAACTGAAGCCAAAAAGGAAAAGTTAAAGATCACAATTACTATAAATTGAGAATAGAGATTCAGATCAATTTATTCTCATTGCATCTCCAGTTCATAGAATATTTCTACATAAGATTTCAAGAGAGTTTAAATGAGCTGTCTATTAAGAAATAG